ACCCAGAGTAGATAACACCATGTACTGAAGAATTTATCGGGGTTTTTTCACTTCGGATGTTCTCCGACATGGGCAGGACCCGGTCCTGTTCCGTTGCAGGTGGCCAAAGAACTCATCCACCACCTCCGCTGGGTGTCGAATCCACAAATCAATGTGATAAATTGCTATAGAGCTACGGTAGTCACGCAAGAACAGCATGACGAAGAGATGGATGGAACATGATGGAAAACATGCTTCCATGTTTGTCTCCAAGGTTTACTTGAGGCATCTAAATCCTTGCCTGGGTCCTCACAGGTGTCTGGGTGGCCAAAGCTCTAGGATGCTGTAAGCTATCCAAAAGGAGCCGGTTGACAGAGCAATCAGAATGGCTCTGTCCTATGAAGGAGCTGCTCTCCCAAAGAGTAAATATCGACAAACTTGCAAGATGCTGGAACAATTAGCAAGCTCCATTCCAGCTTGACCGCCATCATAGAAGGATGAGGATGGGAATGGATCTCAAAATAAGCCCCTTTGTTGAAGAAACCAAGCCATTTTGACCACTGTGCCAAGTCACGGCAATTCTTTTTGGGGGGTCGTGTCGCAACCACGTCGAAACGCACGAAACGAGGGGCCGGTGCCTTAGGATGCCGCATCTCGCCCCAGCGCCCAGGCTCGTGGAGTTCCAAACGCCAAAGAGCGCCCTGGTCTTTTCTCGGCGCAAGCCGGTGGAGTTCAGTTACGGCGCCTTTGGGGGGCTTTCGATGGCGCCGGCGCCAACTCCCTGAAATCCAAGTGGAGGCTTAGTCTCTGGGCCATGTGTTCCAAATGGAAATCCTTGGAACATGCAAGCTTAATTAAAGGGAAATCCCTGGAAAACGTTCAATCTACGGAGGTCGAATAAAAGGTGGCAAGTCTTTGACAGCGCCCATACTGTCCCAAACCCCCCAGTATAGATCTGTTCTGTATGGAAGTAGCAGTGGGTCTCAACCAATCCGAGCATTGGTTGCCTACTGGCCTACTGCTCCCGCAGCAAACATTTGTGACCTTGGCATCCCGGGATGCCTCCAAACCAATCCCACCACATTCCTGCCACATTCCTCAACCTCCCACATCCTCCTACCCTTCAAGTGCTCCTACATTTTTTTCGGCCTGCACCAGGGCGATCCGGTCGACCCAGCACTAGACCCGGTCGAAAGGCCTTGTCGTCCACCTCCCAGAAGAACTTCCGTTCTCGATTCAGTTGGTCGGAGCTGCCGTTGAAGGGCGACTCCCAATTGATCCAACTCTTCCAGGCGTCCTGACAGCGCCAGGTGTGCTAAAAGGAAGAACATGTGACCAATGCTTGGCCAGTGACCCAGCTTCTAATAGTTGATGATGTTTTTTTACGGGTGTAGTTTAAAAATGATCTGTTTGTATGAGTCTTGCTCATGTCCAACTATCAACTCAGTCATGGCTTTTTTCGCCGGAGTCTACCATGACCGGTACTTCCCCACTGGCGATGCCACGAAGGAGTCGACACATATGTCGAAGCTCCAACAGTTGGACTCAGACTGCAACAGTGCTAAGATGCAGGGCTAAGTTGCATGGGTGTGTTTGAGTATAGGGAGACCCTCTCAGAGACCCCCCTCAAAGGAAAATAGACCCACAACCCATTGCTGGATGATTTTTCTAGTAAAATACCCACCCATGTGTGTGTGTGAGAGTTCTTTTTAGATGTGTATTTATTCATTCAACAGAATGTGGTTTAGGGGTTTTTACTTTGGATTCTTCACCCGCCCAAACTTCCAGTGGACCATGGGACTCCCAAACAAACAGTGCGGAGGAGTACCTCAGCCCTGTCCTTGCCACGGAAACGCTTGGGCGCGCCATCCGGCCAGTGGGTTTCTGAGCGACACGGAAGGCACCGACCTGCACAGCCACGAGCTCATCACAGTAGCATTCTTGCTCCTAGTAATTGGTAGTGCCAGGAGCTACTAGTAGCGTTCTCATCACACACGTCAGAAATGGACAAGAAACATCGGGAACGACGCGAATGTCCGAATGACCCAATAATGACCCTCTTTGGGCAGGGAGGACTCTTGGCATTTCAAGCTGCTGTGGTTGAAGGACATCACTTGCTTCTCACATATTTGAAACTTGCCCCTCAACATCCTCCAACTCACCAACAGGACAATCAGCATCCGCAGCATCCGCCCAAAATCAATGCCTTCTAAACCAATGCCTTGGGCACATGCACTGCTGTACCAACGAGCGAGTGTCCGCATGGGGTTCACCCCCAACAGATCTGGCTCAGCGGACTCCTTCTATCTCCCTGTGGAGGTCATACGTTTTGCTTTCAACGACCACTACGACCACTCAGCAATAGTGCTCCTCTACCATTGGTCTACTACCAAGAAAAGCTCATGGCCTACGAATCCTACGGATTGGTGAATGTCACCCGGAAGTGCCTGGACGAATGCTGCGTAGCCGTCTCATGGGTTCAGAGCGTCAATCTGAAAGGCCCTTCCCATGGCTCAAGTATGCACGTCCATCTGGCTGAACAAACTGGTGAAGGTCTTTTCGAACCACAAAGGGTGCCAATCTGGTCCAGCCTGATTGTGCTAAGCGATTCTTAGCCTTCAATTAGCTGTATTATGTTATTCACCTTGCAAACTATCAGTATGTTTTATGTGGTTGGTGTGCGAATGAGTTGGGGGGGGGTGAAATTCTTGTTGAGCTCGACAAAAACGCCAAAACCGTTTGAAAGGGTTAAGCTGTATGTCGTCCCACAGAGTGATTCCAAGCTGAATAGCAACACACTCAACTTACGACCCAGTAACTTATTGTTACTAGTAGCGATGCCCTTTGTTCCTAGTAGCTTCTTGTTCCTAGTAGTAAGGCCAGGAGCCCCCAGTAGGTTCTTGTTCCTGTTCAAAGCTCTTTGTCTTGGACATCACAGAACTTGCCAAAAAGGGCGACAGGGCCCTTGGCTTGCCGATCGGAGGGCAGCAATCCCAAGTTTAGAACACTGGGGCAACATTGGTCAAGGTCTAAGTCCTCGAGAGCGGTCGGCTCACATGGTTAAGTGGGCAAAAACATCATCAGCTCCTCATGGAAACCATCATCTGCCAAACATTGGATTGCATGGAAGACTCAAGGTGGATCTACGGAAAATCCGTGTCATATATGAGCTATTCAGCAACAAGAAGCTCCTAGACTCCTAGGGGCTCCTGGCCTTACTACTAGGAACAAGAACGCTACGTTCGGGCCACTCCTGGTCACATGCTCGCCTGTTGATGCTCTCTCAGGGCCGAGCTGACCGAATGCGGCGTAAGAGGTGCTCAAACGCGCATCTGGCCTGGCCGATACAAAAGAAACAGCGATGATGTCTTTGGTGAAATAGGCAAGAGTGGGTCTGTTTGGTCTGATCATGGATGAGTCCGAATCAGTTAGGCCTATGTCTAGCACCCCATCTACTCGCAACAAGGAAACTTACGTACTCATCCCATGCGTTTTGCTCTGTTTTGCCCCACCCAAGCATAAGTATTCCAGAGTCCAACTTGTGCAGGTCAAAAGTAATTGTGCATTTGAACGCATGATTCTCCTGGGCACCCAACTTTTAGACTTGTTTCCCTGTGCAAGCATCATGCCCAGGCAGAATATACTACACACACAAGTCCAAATTCAATTGAGTCCAACTCACAATCGAATCCTGTGTTAGATTGTGATACTGCCTTATTCTAGATTGGTTCTTTCAATGTCGAAGTCCAGACTTCCGGCTGTCACCCTGCTCCACTCCTCTTCCCGCCTGCTGTACTTCGTGAACGCCAGCGCCGCGGCGTCGCGCCGCGCGTCCGCCGGCTCGCTGGGGGACACGCCCTCGTAGATCTCGTGGGAGCCTGCGAGCGGAATGAGACGATGCGACGCGCGCCCCGCGGGGCCGGATGAGACGAGGCGATGAGGACTGCCGAGGAGATGACACACCAAGATGCTAGATGGTGCTTTCGCATGCAGCGACAAAGAACGAAAATGAATCAACCAAACCCCGCCTTTATTGTAAGGTTTGAATATGTTTGAATATAATATGTAGGAATCACCTCAATTCCGTACATGAAGGTGAACGGAGATTTCGGAGAGCAACTCCACTGCAGGTCGCACCTATAGCCCAGTAGTCACCCACCTCAGTCACTCTCCAGGTTGGATGCAAGTCCACTACCCACAAATTATGCAGTCAGTCTCGAAAAAAAGAAGTGAAGCTTGGAAACCAACGAACTGCCTTAGAAATGATATAGTTGTTTTCTTAAGGGACGTTCAAGTCTAATTACAGATGCGAACCCAATCCCATATATGGACAAATGCTGTGCATTACAGCTTATCGACCCAAATTATCCCGAGGTCCAGTGCCATATCTGCGCACCATTTGTATCGTTGCATCGATTCAGATTGTCCAAATCTCCAAGGGCACCACTCCACCAGCACGGCTGTAGTTCCAGTAGCCAAAGACAGTCTCAGAACGGCACAAAGCGGTGGGTTTCGCAATAATTGAAGCAACTATTTTGGGAGCATGTCACATGATGGGTGTTTGTTGTACAAATCTGGTGTGGCCCCGCCCAAAACCCAACACGCATTAAATTTGATCAAACTGTCAGTGGTCATACACACCTCTGTCAACTCAACAATCCACAATACATATTACAGTGCGCTGCCAACAACACTTCCATGATGGCAAAATGACAATCTGTGGTGGGTAGAACGCTAAAGTATTTTAACTCAAGTGGGTGGGTACGTTGAAACAACTAGAGGTCCTCATTGAATCGAACAAATGCAAAATTCAAACTTCACTAGTAGCGATGGCCTCCACCTAGCGATGCCCTTGTTATTAGTAGCGTCCTTGCTCCTAGTAGCGAGGTATTATAGACACGTATACAATACAAATAATTCATTGTTGCACAATGCTCGATGAATCATGTTTCCCTGGAAGTCTCGCGCCCTGTCGCTGCATACCAAAACTGGTTGCATGTTTGCATTGGTTCATTCCGACTTGCACTGGGCACCGGCTGCTCAATGGATGTTTGGAAAATTTGTGCGGCTTACTAGTGTCCCTACAAAAACGAACGGACAAAGAACTAAGCCAGAAACGCCCAGGCACAAAGAGAAAAGGCCTCAAAGGCAGCTTCATTTGTGAACAATTGCAGGCTGGGTAATGACATGTAATGACTCACCAACCAGCAACTGGGGTAATGCTCCACGTGCAATGCCAATTCCAAAAAAAGGAATTGTCGTCTCCATGGATTAAACGTTTTGTACACTTGAACTTCTTCTATATTAATTACACCTGTGTTCATATGTCAAAAGTAAAAAAAAATCGTGTTCTGGGCCAGAAGGGTGTTTCTGCCATATTCTGCTTGTGAGTGGTCAAATTAATATAGTGTACAAACATGGACCGAGTAGATCAATGCACAACCACAAGATTGAACATATCTGGGAAAAGCCGGTGAGCGAAAGCTTCAAAGTATATAGTACGTATATAGAAGCTACAGAAATGCGATTTGTGTGATGAACATGTGTGACAGCTTGGCAGGTGATGAAGGGTCATGTGATGAAGCCTGATGCGGTTGTTCAATCTTCCGCACATCCTTCTGTATCTGATGACATTTGCCAGGCAATTTTCCAGCCACTTCCAGAAGATCTGAACTGGTCATGCCCAACACCACGTGGCCTTACCAAACTACCGTTTGGCCCTTTGACTGTTTTCGCACTTACATAAGCCTAGGCTAACTGCACACACCAACTGAAACTGTTCATAGCCCGGAAACCTCTTTGTAGAGTGAATGAAACGGTGCTTTTGAATTGAAACTGAACTATTCACAGGGGTGCCCCTGCTTTAGCAGCGTTCCTTTCGACAGCCCTGTTTGATTCGATAGAAACCAAACAGCACCGAAGGACCCCGACAGTTAGATCAGAATACGGCATCGATGTCATGATAGGTTTCACTTGGAGGATTGAACTGGCCGTTTTAAATTGAGACAGCTGCTCAGGCCGTCAGCTCCATGTTCTGCCGTTTCTTCACGGAAAAGGACCGTTCCAATGAATTTTTGCTCACCAAGGCACTTAGGACCACCACCAGGCCATGCTTGCCCTGTGCGGCAGGTGCCTGCGAGTGCGAATGGGCAAGCGTCGGCAAGTGTGGGCAAGCGTCAAACCTCACCCACCTTCCATCCTGAAATGAGAGGCCATCGCAAGTAGGTTGGAGGCCATCAGTATTGGGTTGGAGGCCATCACTCTTAGGTTGAATGCCATTGCCATTGCTATTAGCTTGGAGGCCATTGCTATTACCAGTAACTGCAGAGCCTTGAGGACATATTATAACATGTAACATATGTGCTAATTAATCTCATTAGAATACATGACATGTGTATAGCATTAGGTTAAGCTCAGGCGTAGGCTTGGCCACAAATGCCTTGTGAGTAGTATGATGGAGTATGCTGGAAGGCAATACTATCTCGTTCTTCGGCTCTTGAACACTCATTGACCAATTCAATTGCTCGCTTCATGAATGCTTGTCAATTCAAATAGCTTTATCCCGGAGGGCAACGACACAAACCACGGCGTGCCCTGCCTTGGGGCGAAGGTACATGGCAAGGAGTGTACAAAGGCACATCGTGGCCCAGGTGCTCAACGAGATCACTACGAAGCTCGGCAAGTGCGCATAGCCTGACTCAACATCGGCCCACGCATGCGGGGGCTTAGAACGGGTAAACCGTGCATTCCTGGGCCGGAAAACGTGTCCAGCTTTTTGTTGTGTTATTGGTACCATAAACAATTTACATAATCATACATCCAATTGGGCGAGCTTCTTATCGAACAAAATGTATGAAATAATCGTTGGTACCCATACGGTCCGCTCAAAAATGCTGGATGTTTCCCAGTCGTTTCATCTGCGGGGTCTCTTGAAAGTGGTCATTTTGCCATCCCCGACCAAGGACTTGAAGGGAACACTCGGCTGCTTCTAGTTCTTGCACTGCAACTGATCAACTGATCATCTGGAGTTGCATGAAGTCTCCATAGACCTCCTACCATGCCAATCAACCAGCGGCAAAGGGTGCCGCCATGCCTCGCTCCCCCTCTCGACCCCAACCGAAGGTGTGCACCGACCCAGAAATGACTCCAAGCTGCAATACAAGAAAAGCCATGTGACACCCGTGAAGGTGAGCCACGGCATCATAGAGATCCGAAAAGCCTCCTGTGGAAGTACCAAACAAACGATTGTCAAAGCACCCTAAAACCTGCAGGAGCTTCCCAGAGAAGAGCCAACACATACTCCACAGTACAAACCAGTCAATCAGCTTCATACCCAGCAACTCTCGTAGTCATTGACCTTCCTTCTTCACCAATCTTCAGCAGGCCTGCAGGTCTTCATACACCCCAAAAGCACGTGCTTGGCACTCTCTTCCGGATTCGCGTCCTCCACTTTACTTTCCGAGGTCAGCATCGCCCTGGGGTCGTTCGAACACAAAACAGCGCAAAGACGTGAGACTCGAACGTAAGCATGCGCATGCTGCATGCTGCATGCTCGTGTGGCACCAGTGGAAGCATCTAAATTAAATTCGTAACTTGTTACTACTAGTAAGGCACCTGCTACTACTAGCGTGGCACTTGTTACTACTAGTAAGGCACCTGTTACTACTAGCGTGGCACTTGTTCCTAGTAGGAAGCGTTATATGTGGCAGCGTTGCAGCACCACAATATGACAAATCACGACTCATCGCCTACACTTCAAACATGGCTCGCACGGATCCCCAGACCAAATCTCATGGCGCGCACGCGACGTCGCACATGACACATGACCAGAACGAGGTTTCTTTGGGGATCACCAAGATCACAACAAGATCACTGCGTCATGACAGCATCATCCAACCGCAAAATGGATACAACATTGCATGGACTCACAGTACAGTATCTCAGAGTCTATTCTTCGGTTTCTTTGTCTTGCTAGTGGGGTTCAGGTGTTATGAGCTTTTTGATCTATAGCCTAATCTGACCCTGAGCAGCTTGCCAAGCCTGTCTTATCGGACCTATCGACGTGTCAAAGGGGATTAGATCAAGCCCTTCGTTGGTTTTTTTCGCACTTGTTTTTTTCGCATCCCTCCCATGAACAAATCATGCAAGGTCTTTTATATGCACCACTGGCACCACTGATACATTTTGGCTCAAAAAAAACATCCGTTTTGAGCATGAAAGCTGCTCCTCCTCGGCTTGTCCAAGGGCCTGCCTGAACGGGATCAACCTCAAATGGAAAGTCTTGACACCGCTTTCTCCCCAGGTGCGCCGCCACAGCCACCTCGACCTCGATCCCGATCTGGGTCTCGTGACTTGGCCAAAAGGAGTGGATCCTCTTCGGTCATGACTTCCGCCTGAGAAGCGGCGAGATGTGGCCGGTGCCCAACACAACTTGCAAAACTCGGTCTTTGTCCAGCTGTTTGGGCTCGTTTCTGGTTCCCGCTGGTCTGCTAGCCCAAAAGAAAGTCATTGACCCCAAGTGACCTGATTAAAGTGCAACCAATGGCAAGCATGGCAAGTGTCCAAAGCCAGGTCGATTGGGGTTGGTTGCCAACTTTAATACACCTCTGAGACGCCATTCAACAAGGATCATGACGTGACATCCTCCATGAAAAACTCTGAGTCAAAACATACAAAATTCTCATGCACACCTTCCAATTTCAGTGATTTTCAATATTTAACTTCTGATTCATTTCAAACCTCACTCAGCTTCATGGACAGCCCACCCCCGCCGCCTTCAGCGAACGCCACCCCCAAGCCCCCGCGGCCACGCGGCCGCGTGGGGCGCTTCGTTCTTGAGCCACGGGGGCTGCGAGGAAATGGACTGAAAGTTCAAGAACCGGCAGTTCTTGCGACCAACAGTTGATTTTTGGTAGGGAACTGGAACAATTGGGACATTGGGAATTAAGCACATGTCCAACATTTAATTTGATTGCTTGGAGCTCCTGGTGGAAAACATGGACGTTGAACAAAAAGCTAGCAACTCCACTGGAAGGAAACAACTAGTTAATTAAACCCAAACCTATGAATCTCAGCCCTGACAGAAAGACCATTCAGGATTAGGCAATTAGATTCGATATTACCAACCAAGCAAGGTAGCATGTTAGGTTAGAAAACCGGACAACCCAAGCTCCCAAATCACCCTCGTGGTTTGCGGACCTTTGGGCACTGGATGCGCCTCTATCTGCGACACACCAAAGCCATTGCCACGGTCGCCGTAGTCACCTGGCGATGAAAAATGTCTGCAAAGAACAGAACATCTCCAATGAGCCGTTTCTGCGACATTCCACCTGCCAACTCAGTTTACCAACCAATCAAACAAAAAGCGTTGAAGGTCCAACAGTGTGACCCTACAAAATATCAAGGTTCACAAAAACCTGGACTCCCAGCAACACCATTTTTGCAAGAGACTACCGGAGTATGGGGATAGCAAAACAATACCAAAACACGGGGCTGAAAAGGCCAACCGCCTTTACGAGTCCTAAATGTTTTGGTCTTTGGTCAACCTGATAGATGTCGTGCGTACACTCACCCAGCAAAATGCACGTGTTTAATCGCATCTCTTTCCACTTGGTCATAGAAAGGCGGTTTGCTTTTCACCCTCGTTTTCAACGATGCAACCCACCACTACAAAGTGGCGGCGCTAGCGACCCAATCACATCGATCAACAGACCATTCCGGCGAACAGGGCGCCAACGGCCTCAGCCTTCGGCTTCGCCCAAAACCCAGGCATCACCATCGAAAGCTGGGTTAGGCTGATGGCCTGGCGAACCCAAAACAAACACCGACAATGGACAATACAATGGCCTGATAGGAACCTGCAACTGCAAAAGCATTGCATGAGTGGCACTTCTATGTCAAATCTCCCCATCTTTGTCTGCCCCGCAGCGCGGTAGGGGGGAAGTTTCCTCTTTGCCTTGCAAGTCAGTGAAGGTCTGGAGCAAACAGGAGGGCCCTGGAGGGGGGGAGGGAGGCTGCTGCACGGCTGAACTTAAGACGGGCTCAAACATGCTCAAACCTAGAAAGCAACGCCCGCGGCTCATGCAAATCTGTTATACATAGCACGCCCGCTGGTTGAGTCTTCTGAGTCTTGTCTTGTAGGAGCAAGGCAGCCCGCACTCCCAAGCCTTGCAAAAGGCTGCAAGGACCTTTGGTGGTGAGCACACCACAGTGGGCCATTCGGCCTCTGGAAGAACAGGGAGAATTACGGAGAATTAGAAAACCAAAGATATTTTGGCATTGCTCGGGCTGGAATCAGCAAAGGCATGAGCATCGGCTTCAATGATTAAAAGGTGCACGGGAAGGTTGCAGGGAGGAGAGCATAGAGGGAAGCGTTAGCGTTGGACATCCTATCCTTCGATTCCTTGCGTCTCGACATCTCACTGAGCTCTTGAATCACATCAGACAGCGCCTGCATGTTGAAGCCATCTGGATATCCTCGATCTTCTGCCAGCTCTACACTACTCTCTCTCTCTCTTCCTTTTTTTGGTGAGGCAGGTCTTCGGTGGACAAGCTAGTCTGCTGTCGTATTCCCTCGAGCCGACGTGCCTCACGGCACAACAAGTCATCAAAGCAAAGGGAAATATCAGGTTAGACGGTTTTTTAGTGTGGAAGGGTTTTGATGTGGCGATGTTTTGAACACCTTTTGAGCAGCCCTGCACGACCCAAGTGCGCCATCAACTTAGCTTCCTGCTTCAATGCACTGATGTCCGCTGCCCTGGGTGCGGCCACATCCAACCGCTCAAAAGCGGCACCTAGACCCACCGAAGCTCGCATGGTCAAAGGAATGCACCACTGACCATACCCACTGTCGCCTCCTGTGGTTTTTTGTGTCAGCATGTGACGTGAACCATGCAGCAATGACACCAGCTGATCATGCTTGAGGAGACGGACACCCTCAACAGCCGCCATCCGATGACAGGTTAGCTCAATGCAGTCTGCCACTGATGCTCCGCTTTCCCTCAGGGAACAAAGGAACCACACAGGGACAAAAGCGTTTGCTCAGGGGCCAAAGGTGACAACCATCAAAACAAATCCACTGTGCCACCCACATCAGCTCTTCACTAGCTGCTCAAATCAGATATAAACACAGGAAATAATCCTGTCAACCTATTAAAAAACACCCCCCCCAATAAGAGAAACTCTGTCGCATTTTTTCTAATAGGGAGTCCCTGAAATCGGGGGGGTCCAAAATAGGGTCACCTGGGAAGAGCTTCAAAACCAAATTTAGGGCTTTGGACGCGGTGTTTTTTTGGGGGGAGGCCTTTTTATAGGTACTCCAGATTATATATAGTACGTATAGGAACCCGCCGTTATTAAAGACTCTGAAGTTTGATCCACCAACTCAAGCAATGCCCCAGCGGTAAAGTGCGCCAGAATAGACACTCCGGCTTGGGCCAACCAAGTCCGAAGCAACCCACCGAACGTCACGGAAGTACCTAGCAATGTGGCACCCCGAGTCATGACCTGCCTTATTTGAGCTTGAGTCAAAATTAGACTTGTGATAATGAAAACGGTTTTGTCATTCTCTATTGATCCGTTCCAAGCTCCAACCGCTCTTTGTGCTCCTATTGTGTTTCAGGGGTTTGGATAAAATGATGCTTTCTGCTACTGGGAAAGGGAATGAGGAACTGGTGAAAGGAAACGGGACAGGAACCCAATATAAAGGAAACAAACACCAAGGACAGGGAAGAAAACAAGAAAAGGCCAATAAAAGGCAAAAGGCAAAGGGCAAAGGAAAGGAACAAGAACAGTGAAAGGTGCAACAAAAGCGCAAAGAAAGACACCTGATTTCAACAAATAATGAACATGTAACATATATATATATATTATATACATATCAAACATGAAACATGCGTCAACCAAACAATGCGAAACATACGATATCCACAAAAGACTTGCCTCCAACCTAATAGCGATGGCCTCCAAAATAATGGAATAGTTAAATACCTACCTGGACCCTATAGGTAACAGCTAGATCTGTACTCCTTTTTCTGAGAAACGCACAGGTCGACTCCGGGTACTCGTGGGCCCACAGAAGAATCACAGAAGAATCACAGGTCGGACCATGTTCCACCGCCTTCTACGGGGCCTTTTTCCTAGTAGCTTCTTGCTACGTTCGTAGTAATAATGCCCTTGTTACTAGTAGCGATGCCCTTGTTACTAGTAGCTTCTTGTTCCTAGTGGTAATGCCAGGGAGCTACAATCTTGATCTTCCAGATCCACTTCGGCTACAGACCTCGCCTGCTTGTTGCAGTACTTTTGCCTGCACGTGTTTCAAAATCAAGTCAACTGTAGATGTGAGGTATTACCTGTGATCTTCAAGGAGACTGCTCACACTTGGAAGAAAACACGTTTTTGTTGCTTTCTAGCTGGATTACTGTTACATACACGTGACCTTAGATTGACAAGGTATACAAGACCACTGGCCAAACAAGCAGAGTCAAAGTCATATTGATCTCATTTCGTGGGGTTGATTGATGTCTGAATCTTTGGAGATTATCAACATCTCTGGGAAATAAGTTGGACAATTCAAAATGCTCAGCATCACTCGCCGTGAATAGCCCATATTGCAGGACTGCAGCACTAGGCTGTGTTTGGCCTTGCTTGGTCCTCAAACACATCGACCAACTGGAGTCGAACCCAGTACTGGAGATGACGAGCGTGGGATGCGATAGCCGCCCACCTTGGGTTGAACCCCAAACACTTACAGTAAGCCGTTCGACCAATCTTTGGTCCAACTCAATGAAGGCCAAAACACTTATACTGGTCGCACCTAAGGGAGGTTGTCCATACTCGTCCACTTCTCTTTTATTTACTGTTAACGAGAAAACAACAGCACGTGTCCCACCTCGCCGAAATGCTGTTCCTGAGAGCAGCTCGCACTCTGTGCATGCTTTGCGCGCCGAGTCCCCAGCGCAGAATCTAGTGGCCACATTCTACTTGTAATGGGCATGGTGTATCTTTAGTCTGGGATCAATCAGACATGAAATTGGATTCAGCAGCTGCACAAAGAGCTACATCGAACACGTCTGGTTCGACAAAATGAATCACACAAAGCCTCATGAGAGTATTCATGACTATGTTGCACCCAAAAAAAGTGCATGACTTGAGCGACCTGGAGAAAGAAAGACGTCAAATTACAACGGATCCGATTGCTAATTCATGGTGCTAACGCTCCGATTATTTGCTAGGAGCCATCTGAGGATCAATGCACCCCGGATTGGGATCTCGCACAACTCAGGCTTCCCCACCCGGGCTTGCAAAGCTGCGAGGAAGGCTACGGTTTCAGCATCCAAGAGACCTGGACAAGATTGGACTCTAAGTGGAGCAAACGAAGGTGAGTAGGATAAAAGAGAAGGGCAGGAGTCCAAAAGCATCTAAGCGGATGTTAATGCAACATGATGAACATGAAACATTGAGAAGGCAACGCAAACCAACAATGATGTTGTGAGGTTCTGTGACCACTCAAGCTATTAGCTATTATGCCAAAAGAACAGAGATGATGTTGCTCGTTCTGAACTCACCTTGTGGGAGGGTAAAGGTTCCCTATTGTTTACCACAAACACGGACTTACAATTATACCTTCAAGACATACTTACCTCAATGTAGTAATGACCTTGCGGGTGTTGGAGTTATGTCCACATGTTCGTACTTTGGAGACACCAGGAACATGCTGATGAATCCAAGCAAGCTTAGAAGTGAAGCTGCCAAGTTGCGCGCAAAACCAGCCATGAAATGCCCACCGGACATGTGAGACGAATTCCAACAGCTTTCGCAAACTTTTTTCGATTCCAATGACAATATCAATGTGAGACTTGCACGCAAAAAGTCTGACCAAACTGTGCAGGACATGTCTAAGACATCTTACCTTCCTACGTGTGGCCAGATGCTGTGGCCGTGACCAGGCCCTGTGGCCTGAGAAAAAAGAAGCTTCTTCTTTCTAATAGCTTCTTGTTACTACTAGTAAGGCACCTGTTACTAGAAGCGATGCACTTGGTTCTAATAGCTTTATTTTCGCAGCCAGCACTCACCTCTCGACCCGAAAACTGGAAAATCCGCCTGCATCGGAGTTCAGGACCTCATGAAGGAAGCCTCACCCATTCGATTCGCCGGCGCCAAGGCACGGTATATGGGCACCAGGAACGAAC